CCCGTGTTACTCGTGTTACTAATGTTACGCGTGTTACTCGTGTTACTGGTGTTACTAGCGTTACCGCTTTTTTTTGCTGTTGAATAATGAAATGATCACCATACAGTCTCATTAACGCAATATCACTGACTGGTGAGTATCAATAGTTACTAACACGAGTAACACGAGTAACACTAGTAACACCGGTAACACGAACACGGATAAAGTATGGCCAAAGCCTAATCTCTCCACTTTCGTCTCCAAGAACATCTTAGTTCGGGGTTAGAGTACGGAGTAATTCAGATATAAAATGCTTTCCTTCAGCAAAAATTTATCACTATAGTAAAATAGCAGGCTGGAACTAAGTTTTGCAACTGCTTTCGTAACTTTAATCTCTTTGGATGTGGCGCGTTCACATTTTGGCAGCATATCTCAGATAATCGCCGGGGGCAGGCGGCCTTGCGATTTATGGGCGGGCGGGCACCGGAAAAATAGTTCGCTGATTTTCTGCGGTCCGCTTGCAGATATTTGAAAGAATTTTAGCGAAATTTTGGACGAACGCTCGGAGGACAAACGCGGTTTTCTTATAGATTAGCTACGGCGCAGCGGCCGCATTCTCGCGGACTTTCCGCGAGAATATGCAAAATTTTCGAGGGCCGCACGGTCCTTTATGGAGGACCGCGCAGCCTTCAGGTACTTTCCGCTGAGAGAAAGTACCTCAAACTTGAGTAATTAAACCATCGATGACACTTCTGCTATGTAGAGTCTCACCTTTGCTCGGCGTACGCCCGAAACCGCTTATAAACCGTCCGAGCGCCAGCTGAAAATTTGACCAGCGCTCGCTGAAAGAGATTATCTGCCGAGCGCCTGCAGAAAATCCTGCGTTGCTGCCCGCTGGCAGAACATGCGCCAGCAAAGGAAGTACCGCTCGCTGAAGGTTTGGCCACGCCCCAAAATTCTGCTGACCGCTTGCAGAAAAGCGCGAGTTTGCGGACCGCCTGTTCCCGGCGATTATCTGAGATAGAGCTCAATGTGTGCTACAACTGCTCACAGCCGTTTGAATTTTGAATGCGAATTAGAAAAATTCCAGGTATTTTTCGAAAACTAGTGATTTTGAGGATTTTCGGGATTAGCCAAATTGAAGCCTTTAGCAGCCATCTGGAATCGTGTATGAATTATTATTAGAGCTTTCTTATTCAGATCAGCAAGAATAAAATAAAATTTAGTCAAATGTCGAATACTGGCGCATTCACAAAGTTGAGCGAGTCCGATATACGCAAGTTGCAAGGGACAGCCGTCAATGACCAAGGTGTCAGAAGCTCAAAATTTGCCGGGACTACACGCAGTAAAGTTATTTGACATGCCAAAGACGAATATTATATTCATTTAAAATAACACCTCTTCCCTTGTTTAGGGTGAAACTTTACATCGTAAACCTACAGTAATCTTACAAAAAAGCCCTTATCACGCAGTTTCAGTATCGTTTCCGTGATTAGCATGTCAGATAACCCCACTATGCTAAGTTTCAGCCAAATCTGTCAAATTTTCAAATTTTTCCTCCTATACCATGTACCTACCGTAACCCCCACTGCGACATCAGAATTTGGCAGAACAGCAGTTGCTCTTATAGCTTACGTCATAACCTAAACGATGACAAAATTTGAGTGCGCCATGTTGAGAAAGAAGAAAATTATTGAATGAGTTGCAAAACTTAGTTTCCAACCTAATAAATTTCAAATTAGCGAAAAGTTCTTTTGGCATGCAAGGACCTCGACTACCGTTGGTATTCTTTGATATTGTTATATGGGTTCATCGCTGAGATGCGTGAAAAATGTTGTAAGTTGATCACCTCTTTTTCTTACCACAGTAGTTTGCATATTGCATTAAGCTAGCGTTTCAAAGCCTCTGAATACTGAATCAAAGCTTGAAATCAACACTGATGAGAGGTAAATTGTAGTAGCAGAACTTCGTGATTATGCTAGAGAGAACGTACATAAGGCCTCATAAAGAAATATATTAGGTTGTCCCGGAAGTTTTGTCGGTTTCTTTCACCGCTCACTAAAACTCACAGAACACCAACGTATGGACGGCCTAGGTACCATTTGATTTAGATTTTTATTCTCTTTCTTACAGTTATACTTGCTCTCTAATATACTCTGTCGTTGCAATGTTATCGCTATGGCTTTTTGAGCAGCTTACAAGGAAAGGATACTTAGTCGAAATCACCAATCCAGATGAGACATACACCATCTTAAAGCGCTTGAAACGCTGATTCCAAATCTGCAGTTTCTAGCTGCGGAGCGGTTTTGTAGAAGGATCTATGAAGGGTGTTCCCCTTTGGGGTTTGGGCGCCCTCCAGCAGTCTCCCTTTATCTGTAAGCACTGTAGAGGAGTATCAGCTGATGGCAACTGACCTAATGCTAAGTAACTTGAATGAAGATTACAGTAAAGATTATAATACTCATATTACTTGGTTTTTTTTAACGCTTCTAACTTCGATTAGTATCAATATCATCAAAAGTTTCATGCTTTAGGGCTCCAAAGCCATTTAGAAGTTTAATTTAGCATGCAAAGGATTGAAACCTTGACACTCTCTTTATCAAGCACGTCACTTACCACTAGGTCAGTTGCCAACAGTTGTACTCCTCTACAGTTCTCATAGGTAGGGGGAGACCTGGTGGAGGGCGCCTCAACCCCAGAGGAAACACCCCTCATAACTCCCTCTGCAAAACCGCTCCGCAGCTAAAAAATGCAGATTTGGAATCAGCGTTCCAAGCGTTCTAAGATGGTATTTGTCTCATCTGGATCGGTGCTTTCGACTAAGTATCCTCTCCTTGTTAGTGGTAATGCGAAATCTTTCCTGAATTTCAAAACTTTCTATTCTGATGTTTCCAATGAGCGCTGTTTACTATTATATAGAACAAACCTTTGGCTACATTGTATCTATTTTAGATTGAATGAGCCGCGTTTACTAAGTCCGTTATTATCATTTATTCAATAAAAACCGCGGCTTTTTGATTAAGTTTAACAGGTACAAAAACCGAAAATTCCAAAAAGCTGCTTTTTTAAAGCGAATCAAAGTTGGTTGTGTTGCATAAATAATGCTTAATAAGAATCATGTTTCAATACGCAGAAACTATAAAAGCTTTCGTGTATTTGATGCAGTTGCGTGTTTCATGACTTTGCCAAAACTGGAAACCTCTGGAGAAATAATTTCTTGAAGCTAAAAATAACAGATTAGTCTAAAAATACTGCTTTGTAGTCCGAGATTTGCTCTATTTGATCGCTTAACAATTTTCGAAACTTTGGAACGCAATTTTTAATAATTAGCCTAACTTTGAGCAGGTAAAATTGACTGGTGTAGAATTTTGGCAATTATCAAAAAATTCAAATAAGATTGTGGTATGAAAATGTAACCTTGCGAAAGAGAAGGAAAAGCTGCAACAAATGCATTTTGGCACTCATTCAGATCTTCATTGCAAGTGGTTTTACAGTGGTTTGAAAAAACCGACAAAACTTTCGGGACAACCCAATATATTAGGTCATTCCGTAAGTAATTTCGCTTTTTTTCAAACGGGCGCCACATCTGAACAAAGGTTTGCAAAAGGTCATGGAAGCATTCGATGCAGCATTTCATTCTCTTTCTAATGGTTATAAAATTGTTGCAAAACAGTCAATGAGCTTTCAGAAAATAACCAAAATCTGCGACCCATGCATTTTGAGATGGTCAAGTTTCACGATTTTTTAAACCTTTCATATCAATCCTCAGGAAGACTTCAAGTAACGATCCGAGAGAGTAAAGCTCATAGAATACAGTGCTACTTTTTTCCCTTTCTCGTAGCTCGCCGTAATTTTTTGAAAGATTTTTTAGCAGAACCATCAAATTTTGGCAGGCCCACTTCAACCACAATCGCATCAAACATCAGAATTTTTCGGAATTTGAGACTACCAAGATGGTACTTTGAGTCAGCATCAATTTTACAAAACAAGTGAGGGTTTACGGTTTCGAAATATAAAATTTCGAGTTTTTCGGGTACAGCCTGGGGCTCCCTAAAAAAATGAGTTGTGATGATTTTATCCCCGGAAACTAAACGAATTGGAAACAGAAAACACCCATCAGAAAGAAAAGAAAAAGCTGCATCGATCGACACCCGAGCTGCTCAATGTTTGATGTTCTACTAGGATTTACCGTCCAAGTATGGAAATCGGCAGCATCAGTTAAAATTCTGTAAAAAATGTATGACAAGCTATGGAAAAGGAAAAAAGTTGCCCTGTATTTTATGAGGTTTGCTCTATCGAACCGTCACTTGAACTTCTTTTGAGAATTGATATAAAACTTTTAAAAAATTGTGAAACTTGACTATCTCAAAAAGCATAGGTCGCAGATTTTGGTTATTTTCTGAAAGCTCATTGACTGTTTTGCAACAGTTTCATAACCATCAGAAAGAGAATGAAATGCTGTTTCGAATGCTAAATAGATCTCTTAGAAACCTTTGTTCCATCAGATGTAGCGACTGTTTGAAAAAAGCGAAATTACTTTCGGAATGACCTAATACAAAGCATCTTGCTTCTATTGTTGATTTTTTTGGAGTGGACTTCCGAAAACAGGCTAAAAAAGGCTCGATTGTTACAAATCATTTTTTTGGCATTTCGAATAATAATAAGCCTCTGTGGATAGATGTCGGGAAGAGCGTCACGATAGTGACTTGTAGTGATGAACAACATCTGCTTAGAAAATGATCCATTAGCTATTCTGAAACTAGGAGACATTTACCATAGGGTAGTTCCAAAAAGGAAACTTACAGACATAAGTTTACCCTGCATCCTATAATGACCAATGCGAAACTCCGGAGCAGAGGTGACTAGTTTCAATATATGAAAGCAATCTTAGGCTTCATTCACTCGTAAGCAAGGACAATCTGTACTATTCCGATGCCTATCAACAAAAAATGTAAGGAATTTGGTATTTTGGTGATAATGGTGATTGAAACGATGCCTAAGTCGCAGAAAATTTATTGCATAATTTGAAAACGACTACATGAATACTAATTTTCTAAGATTTGAAGCTATTTATTCAAACATCAAGGTTTTCGTCTTCGTACTTTTTTTTCAAGAACTCAAAAACGTCTTCTAGTGAACCCTGTAGTAAAGAAAAGTCACTGAGCGAGAGCGAGGTTGCCATTGTTTGTGCTTTTTCGTAGAGTTCCGAAAGCTTGTCCCCTTCTCTGCGTGGAATCTGCAAGAATACAGCTACTAGTCTTTTTTAAGTGAGATAAAGCTTGCACAGGTGTGCAACAAGCTCAAACTTCTTTCATATTTAAAAAGTCAATTTTAATCGATCAATGATAATGAAGTAAGCTTATTAGCTCGAAAAGCACCAAAATGTTTGAAGCATTCTGTTTTTAGACTTGAAATGTGTGGAAAATTAAAAGTGCGAATACTTATAATCAGTTTACTCCAACATATTGTTGCCCTTCGGTACTATGATGATTTGTATCATGCCTATAAGAGCGTCTTTTCTCTGCGAACGAGCACCTTGAACTGCAACATAGTAACCGCAAGTTAAAGACGTTATTGTTGCCTAATTCGATTAGGATCTAGATCGAATTTGAAATCGATCACATTGGGATGCAAGCAATGCTGATGCAAAAGTGTCTGCGACAAACGCGGAAACGATTGCATCGGGTAGCCTTTGGTCCACTGCGAGTGACGGGATGGGGCTTTGATCGCTAACCAAGCCTTGGGACGATTATAGAGCACGCTCACGAAAGAGGTAAAGGCTTGGTTAGCGATCGAAGCCTCGCTTACCATCCGCCACCTAAGTGAAAGAAAGGGTAAGCATTGTATGCGGCAGAATCACGATCGCATCCTGGGGCTGTAGAATTCAATCTCCCTAGATAAGCGTGCTCTAATCGGGATCAAGCGTGGAGATGGCATGCCACATCTGGGGGGTCGTATTGAGGAATCAGAGAGAAGGGGAAGGGGTCGTTATCAAGGCGTCCGCTGTTCGCATAACTTGATATTCGTTAACAATGTCAGATAGGCCCGTCATGCAAAATACTAGCACGTTGATGTTTGACCCATTATCATACGTATAGTAAGCATAATAAAGATCTATAAACATAAGAGCATCGTTCGTAATTAGCAAGTAAAATGCCCCCTGTGGTCCAAATTTTAGCTAATTCTGAGGTTTCCAAATACAGGACCACCAATGTGAGATGGTCGGTTTCAAACATGTAACTGTTTCAAAGATAACTTAACTACTTCTTTTTGCACTTCATACAGAGAACTAATATTTCTTTGCTCACACTAGGAATCCTATTTCAAATTACCTCCAAATTAAGGAATTGAGGGCAAGTTAAAATCTCGTTTGTTCCATTTTTCGTTTTCAATATCTCAAGCTAGAAAAGACCAATTAGGCTCGAATCGCTCTGATGTAGATAAAGAGGCTTATGTAAGGCTCGGCATAGTTCCGCAGAGCAGCTAATGCTAAGACTGATGAAAATTTCGTGTGTGAGATATTCAATGTTCGCCGGCCTTAACAAAACCAGTTCCCAACAACTATTTATTAGCAAGGAGATCATCGTGCAATTGGGCAAAACAAGTGACCTTTCAAATTAAGACAACTAAACTACAAAGGATCATAGTGAGCCGTCGGCCACTATGATCCTTTGTCGGCCAGCGGCGGTGAATCATGACGGCCGATTTGAGTAAATAAAGGTGCGGTCGCTACTTGCAAAATTACAAGAAAAGAGTAAGAGAGTTCGAAAAGGAAGTTGAGAAACTACATCGAATAAGAATAAGAAAAGGTACGAATGCCCCCGAAGGCTTCCTACGGTCTCTTATATATATGTTTCACTAATGGATACGAACATACATAGTCACATAAAACATATAATAAATGGGGTTCAGGTTAACACTGCCTAATGGAAAATACACAAACTTCCTAACGGGACCATTATCCTTCGATAGTTTCCATGAATTTCTTTCTCTTGTTCTGCTAGTTCGTTTTCGTCATGTTCGATCGCTTCGCTGTTGCAATGTTTGCTTACTCACTCGTTATGTAAACATAGAGTCCGCTGTTCGCACATGCGCGGAATATTCGACAAGGCACGTTACACTTAGGCTATCGAATATATACCTTCTTGTCGCCTTCCCTTGCGATTCACGTAGTAGCGCAGGCTTAGCATGTTACCGTTTACCAATATATTTTCGCAGTATTTTCCAGTATTTTACATTTGCATAGGTAAGGAAAAACGATTACATCTTGCTCTTGAAGAAACGTTTTCATATGAAATTTCTGCTATGTAAAGAGGAAGGTCAAGCAGTAACAACGATATAAAAAACGCAGCTATTTGATTTGTTTGAAGGTAAGTTGATGGGGTGTGGCACCACCCCTAGAAAGCTGTGGCAGCCACAGCTTTTTAGGGGTGGGTGGTGCCCACACACCGTTAACTATATCAAAAAACACATTTTTAGCTAACAATATTTATATGAATCGATAGCCTAGACCTCATAGATTTCATAGGAGTAATTTGAGCCTGATTCGTATCCTTAGCTCTGTGTAAAATTTGGTGAAAGCACAGCCATTAAGAGCGAAAAATAAGAAAAGTAAGATTTTGGTTGGCTTCTAATTCCAAAGTTAGGAAGTCTTTTGGAACGAGATTTTGTGAGGTGGCCAAAGAAGGAGTAATGCTTGTCTTGACTGCAAAAAATAACTAGCTACTTCACCTTTGAAACGAAGTTAATCACGCCGGAAAATGGCGATTTGAATTAGGTGACCCAGTGTCTTGAAATCTCAGAAATCGCTCAAACATTGTCTACAGGTGTTAATTGACATGCTAATTATGGATATGTTGCCCGTTATGTTTGACAGGGCCTTCAAGTAATGCTATCTTAGGTATATAGTTCAGGGGTCTTACTGTGACAGCAGTAAGAGGGGGGGGGGGGTCGTAACCAGCGATCGTGTGCCACAACTCTTGCTTAACCCTGGCTCTAACTTAGTCTGGCCTTTTCAAAAGAAATTTGGAAACCAGCCTGAAACGCTGGTTTTATCTATACGTTACTAGTTGGCTTCCCCCGGTCCAGCCCGGGCCTTGTTCCGTTCACCTGCACTGCAAGCCCCCCTCCCCCTATATATTATGGATGACTTACCCTGGGACACCCGCTTCAAACCGCATCCTCGTGATCCTGTGGTGAAAATGAGCTTCACCGCCCTCCTTTCACGATAATGAAAAAATGCTGGATTTAACATGATAAGCTTTCAGCTCCTTAGAAAAACGTAAACAAATCAATAAATCCAAAGAAGGACCCAACGAATCGCCGCAAAAATTAGCCTATCATCTGCGCAGGGGTCGAAAACGTATGTGTGCAAAGTTTCAACAAAACCGGTTGAGCGGTGCGCGTTTCTATAGCGCACATAGCCTCCAAACTCACAATTTTGAGTTTTATATATATATATATATATAGATAAACTGCAAAGTTTTGCTTTGAAGCGAGTTATGAGTTCAGGGAGCTCAATCCGGACGGTCTGATCCTCAAATATCAAATTGAGTCAAATCAAAACCCAAAAAAATTCTTGCAACAAATGTAAAGTCTCAATCGTTGTTTATTGAGTAAAATGTGAGATTTATCAATATATCTGAACACTTAATCTGATCAGATAGACGCACTATTTCAAATTTTCACATGATCCGAAAACCAGGCGAGATCGGAGAAGTCAGCATTGCTGACATAAAAGTCTCAATCGTATACCAAGCGATTTCATAGTCTCGCAGTTCTCTCGCGACAGCTGTTACGAATTCATTGTTTTATCATCCGGTCGTGGTAGTCTTTCATCATTTCCGAATAATCATCAGAGATGAAATGCAAGATGATTGATATTCAAAGAACTCGTAACAGTTGTTATGTCACAAGAATCGCGCGGCGATGTCTTGCGTCATGTACGTTTGTCTTTGCTATTGTGTAAAGCTTTTGCACGGTTATTTTTCTGATCGGGTTACGACCCCAAGGGAAATCCTTACATAAACAGGCGATTGACGATCCTGATTTAAACCCGGCCCAAAAGGGAATGCAGTTCGTATTTTTGGCAACTATGACGCCATTATAACGCTGCAAATTTTGGAAGACTTTTGCTCGCAGTTGCATTTTGTAGAAGATGGAAAATTATACTATTTTCCACACTAACCTTGAATTTGAGGTTCAATGTATCCTCTTGTTTTGTGACCAGCTCGCTTGATGGGAATGTAGATAGAACCGCGTCTATTACCTGAACTCCTATTATCAACTACTCATTCCTGATTTAATCTGTAAAAATACCTTTTTTTTGTCGTCCAGTGATTTCAAAATTGTGAGAAGGAAGTAGTTATTGGCATACCTGAAGATCGCGAAACAAAATGATAATTCATAATCGACCACAAATACATAAAAAAAATCTGTAGCTGACTTTGATTTGAGTGTCTGACTTGCTCCTATCGCCACAAACCTTCCCTTAACAAGTACACCTAAGCACGAACAAAGCGCCTCACATTCCTCCATCGAGTGTGAAGAGAGCACTAAGGCTCTGCCCTTTGAACGCATCTGTTTAAGCAGCTTCCAAATATGACGTCGTGTCTAAAATTGATAAGGATTAACTGGAAGAACTCATGACTTTGTTAAAAAAAAGGGAGAACCTTTGGATCAATTCCCGCTGTCGGTTCGTCAAGTATCACAAGTTTCGATGGATTCAGCAGCGCGATTCCTATGTTAACTCTTCTTCTTTGCCCACCGCTGAAGTAAAAGTAGCAAGAACAAAGGCACTTAATTAGACGCTAATTACGAATCAAAAAGATCAAACTTGTGACGAAAACTGATCCTAAAACTGCCAAACTTTTTTGCGGAACACTTCTTGGAAAAGGTTGTGACAAAGAGACAGAAAAAAATGCAAAACTGTTTGAAGTAGATAAACATGCGATCCTTTGAGCAGTAAATGAACGCAATCGCGCTGCTGCGTGGTATCATGGAGAAAATAAATAGTAATTAGTACAAGGGGTGGTACTGATTTTACTTATGGGGAATAAAGCGTAATGGTATGAGGCGCCCTTTGCATCAGTGCGTACAGGAGTTCAGTCGTTGCTCTTGAGCAGACCAAACCTCTATTGGACGATCATAACTTATAATAACGGGCTAAGGATGTTTACGTGACTTTGTGTGTCTGTGTGTGTGAGAGAGTGTGTCTGTTACGAAATTCGTAAAGCGTGTTCCAGCCAACCTCCTGGGCTCAAATTTTGCGTAGAGCATGCTACCAGCGTAGAAGTCCAATATGAAGCAGAAGCGAATTTGAGCGGATCCCTCCAAATCTGCCCGCGAAACCGGTCCACATGGCTTCCGACTCATATATTCAGGCCTGTATTACCAGTTATTGCAAAGGTATGGCTCTGTATCCCTGCAGATCTGTGAGCCATAAGCTTCGATGCGAGAAAAGTTGCCAAAAAATCTGTTCTCAATTCAAACGGTGCCATGAAGAGGTAGAGGGTAAATTCTCGGTTATTCGATCTTCTACTCAATAACCTGGAAAGATTTTTGCTCAGAAATGTAGCACACAGTAGCCATTGTTTTCGCAGCAGCTAATATTTTAAATTAGCAGTTCTATAACTATTCGAAAAACGTATGCATTCTTCATTGCCAAAACTTTTTTCGCCTAAGCTCACCGACTTCTTATGTTAGAGCCTCTAGAATGTACATTTTCTAGCACTTTTCTAGCATTTGTAACGTTCGGCATCCTTAGGTAGGTTTCATTGCTAATTGAGAGTGGAAGAGAAGCAAGACTGTGAAGTAAGTAGAATTGAATTTGTACTCGCGTAGATGTGTAGAAAGTAAGCGCAGCTCTGTAAGCCTTGCTCACTTCTGTAAATGCAGCCAATGCGGTCCTGTAAGATATACGCGCCGCGTCTAAGTACAAGCATTGTTTTAGGTTGGATCGAAAGTTCTTGCGTAATTCAAACAAAATTCAAAAACTTTTCAATACCTAAACCTAAATTCACAGTTTTGTTTTCTAAAAATATTAGAAGGCTTGCGCTCCATGACTGACGTTCAAGCGCAAGATTCCATGAGCTAAACATCGAAAACGAAGCCATCAAATATGGGGCTTCAAAATTTGCAATTTTGAGTTTGGTGCCAGAAAATTGTAGAGTGTCGCTAGCTAGCTGAAAAAAAATCTGTAAAAATTACTTGCACAGCAGAAGTTCATATGTTATTTTGGAAGGCTTCGATCTTGTGCGGTGAAGCAAGAGCAAAAAATTCGTGAATTATGTCATTTTGCGGAAAAAATTCCCTCATTACCGCAGTTTTTCGGCAAAAACACTTTTTTACACTCCAAAAAGCGTTCCAAATAGGCATTATGTCTTATTTCTGGTTGCAAACTGTGTTTTTGTAAAAAAATTACAGCGATAAGGGGATTTATCCTGTAAAATCACAAATTCCACAAATTTCTTTTTTCGCATTTTCATGCGAGATCAGAGTCTGCTAAAATAACGTATAGACTTCTGCTGTAGTAATTCCTAAAGATTTTTTTCGGCTAGCTAATGGCTCTCTGCAATTTTCTGGCACCAAACTCAAAATCGCAAATTTGAAGCCCTATATTTGAAAGCTTCGTTCTCGATGTCTACCTAATAAATTCTTGCACTTGAACTTCTGTCATGGGGCGCAGGCCTTCTAATACTTTTTAGAGACCAAGAATGTGAATTTAGGTCTAAGTGTTGAAAAATTATCGAATTTTGTTTGAATTACGCAAGAACTTTTGAGCTAACCTATTATTTATTGGGTTCCGAACAAAATAAATTAGAATCTTTCTTAGCCACATTGTCTTCAACCACATAATCAAGCACATCGGACGGGTAAAAGTGAAGATACTAAATTTATGCATGCACAGTACTAACTTGCGTTCAGAAGTGTTTCAAGTCATATGGCACCAGCATTTATTCCGGTTGAACGTTTGTGCCCAAAATTTGATTGAACTCCATTCAAGTATGAATGATTCCAACTATTGTACTTGCACAATGAATGACTATGTGAAGTTCTGATGTGGTTCAAGTTTAGGTTATGTGGGAACAGCCAAAGAATTCGAACAAAACAAAACTTAAGATTAGAATCTAAATTCTTTCTTAAATGCATTGGGTTCATTGCAATCGAAGTATTCGAGGCGGTGGGTTACGTGTGATTTTATGGCTATACCTAAATCAAAACTGCTATCATTGGTTCTCAAACTGTGACGAGGCTGAGCCGCAGTACCCTAGCGCTCTCTATGGATCAGTTGTGCACCGAGATTAAACAGCGATGTTAGTTTGACTAGCGCGTCTTTGCCTCTTCAGAGTTTGAGAGCAATTTAAATTATCTTCTATTTATCCCCTCATGTTGTTTGTTCAAATTTGAAGGAATGCTTTATAAAATGCCATTTGCATTAATTCTGTCTTTGCCATGTTAGTCACATGAGTCTCTCTACTCTTTAATAATGAGGATCTTGCCATTTACGTCTACAAGTAGGCAAAAAATATAAGCACATTTCATATTCTTATACGATTTACATAATCCCAGCTGTCACACATGCTGTTATTATCATGATTTACAATAAAGTGCTAAATGTCTGTCTTTTGTGCGTGTGTGTTTGTTTGTCTGTCACGATCATAGAGGGAGCTGCAGCCAAGCTATCAGGCTACAATTTTGCATAGCATACCGTACCAGCATGTAGGCCTACCATGCACAAGGACGATGCCGGTTCGATAAGCGGGTCTTTCAAACTTTCGGATCCACCTAGCTTTTGGCGCGCAAAACTAGGTCACAAATTCACCTTTTTGCAAAGTCTTGTTTTGCCTGACAAGCAAATCTGCGCTCCAAGAAATCTAGCTCAAAAAATGCTCAAAAAGTTTGCTTTTCTGCGAAAGCAGCGCCAAAAAGTAGTGATCGCTTAGAGAATCGATTTGGCAAGATTTTACCCAATAATCTGAAAAGATTTTTGCACGGAAATTTAGCCCAAAATGACTATTATCTCTATAACAATTATCAAGCCAAAGTAAATTCAACAGTTTGTAGACTGTATGTCTCCTTTTTTGTAAAACCTTGGCATGTTTTGTAGATATTGTTTACTTGTTTTTAAAAACCTGTTGCGGCTCAAAACAATTGAACAATATCGACAGTCTGTTCTAATTCGTATTTATTTCTTCAGAAGAGTTCTCTTTCTCAGAATTGCCGATCATGGAGATGCTTCAAAAATGAACAGTTGTTTACGATTCATTTATGATGTACAGCCTCGCGCGGTGAGTTTCAAAGTGATCATTTTGGGAGCATGAATAAGGCATACGGATAGCAGAGCCAGTGCGAACTTCCGCGAAGCGGAGGTGACGCACTGGAAAATTAATAACAGAGAGTAAACAAGGAGTGTTGAATACAGAAGTGTAGAGTTCAACGGTTGGTAACCTCCACAACCATAAACTGATTCGCGTGCTGCATCAGAAAAGCGGAAAACGTCAACTTCTTCATCTACACTTCATCTAACAAGAATGACACTGTATCAAAATAGCTTTTGATCATCATGTCTAGATTGGGACGTGAGCTCATGCTTTTTGTTTTTGAATTTGAGCATGTTGTTGTATGTGTGAGTAATATTTTATATAAACCCAGTTTTTGGCGGATATTATATGAGCCAACGTGAACATTTTGTTTCCTCTGTGCGGATTTAATCATGGGTAGTTTGATCTTTACCACAATGCTCAAAAATAGCAGGAGGCAAAAGCTTCAGTCTCTGAAAAACCAACTTTGGATTTAGACTACAGCAAGTTCGCACATTGGAAGTAAAAGGACAGTCAGGTCAGAAATTTATGGGCCTATGACTTCTATGTGCGATCATACCCATAGAGCTAACAAAGAGAGGATACTTACTTACTTGTTAGTCGAAAGCACCACTCCAGATGAGACATATATCATTTCAAAAAGCTTAAAACGCTGATTCTGTAAGCTCTAGCAGAGGAGAGGTTTTGTAGAAGGAGTTATGAGGGCTGTTTCCTCTGGGGCTCATGCCCCTTCAACAGGTCTCCGCCTATCTTTGAGCACTTTAGAGGAGTACCAACTGGTGGCAACTGGTCTATTGGTAAATGACTTGCTAGATGAGGAGAGTGTCGGGGGTTTGATTCCTTCGGATGCAACTTTATCGCAATTTTGCAAATTTGAGCATCTAAATGGTTTTAGAGCCCTGAAGCCTGAAATTTCTGATGGTATTTATGCCAATCGAAATTAGAAGCGTTTAAAAAACCAAAGTAATACGAGAATTATAATCCTTATTGTAACGTTCATTCAAATTACTTACCACTAGGCCTGTTCCTACCAGCTGGTACTTCTCTACAGTGCTTATTGATAAGGAGAGATCTGCTGGAGAGCGCCTCAGCCCCAAAAGGAAACACGCCTCATAAGTTCTTCTACAAAACCGTTCCGCTGCTAGAATTTACAGATTTGAAATCAGCGTTTCAAACGCTTTAACATGATGTATGCCTCATCTATATTGGTGCTTTCGACTAAGTATCTTTACCCTGTAAGAAACAGTAGAAGATCACTACTGATAATGACATTCATTTTGGATCTCTCGCGCTAAGATCCGCACCTTACAAAAGATTATTTAAAAATTGAGATGACCATACCAAACTGGCATGCAAATCTGTCTAAATGGTGAACGTCTTAGCAGACAGTTAGAAGCGCTCTTATTGCAAGAGCATCCATCGAAATTGCGAGATTGAGA